TACGATATCGAATGTAGATCCCATCCTGATCATCGAGGTCTGCCGTGGCCCTTTGGAGCATCCTGCTGAAAAAGACTGTGAATAGGGTTGGAGCAAGAACACAGCCTTGTTTCACACCATTGGTTATTAGAAAGGGCTCAGAAAGTGCATTGCCATATCTGACTTGGCCGTGCTGATCCTCATGGAGTGAGATGATCATTTTGAGGAACTTGGGGGGACAACCTAAACATTCTGAAATCTGCCACAGACCTTTTCTGCTCACAGTATTGAAAGCCTTGGTGAGGTCGACAAAGGTTACATAGAGACCTTTGTTCTGTTCCCTACACTTCTCTTGCAGTTGTCTGAGAACAGACACCATGTCTGTGGTACTCCTGTTGGCTCTGAAACCACACTGACTTTCAGGTAGAATTTCTTCAGCTATAGCAGGTATTAGTCTGTTCAAGAGTATTCTTGCCAAGATTTTGCCAGCAATGGAGAGCAGAGTAATACCACGATAGTTTGAGCAGTCTGATTTAATTCCTTTCTTCTTATACAAAGTGATGATGACTGCATCTCGAAGGTCTGATGGGAGTTCGCCTGGTTCCCAACAGCACACCACAAACTCGTGAAATTTGGTGTGGAGTGCAAGGTCCCCATGTTTCCAGACTTCAGGTGGAATTCCATCAACCCCAGCTGCCTTGCCGATTTTCACCTGCTGTATGGCCTTGAGGGTTTCTCCTAAAGTGGGGGCAGTATCCAATTCATGCTTTACCAGTTGTTGTGTGATGGACTGAATTGCTGAATCTTGGACTACATAGTTGGTACTGAAAAGAGTCTGAAAATGTTCAGACCATCGATTCAGAATGGAGGTTTTATCTGTCAGAAGTGTTTGCCCATCTGTGCTGAGTAGAGGGCTTTGGAGCTGGTATGTAGGCCTGTATGCTGTTTTCAGGGCCTCATAGAATCCTTTATGATCACCCGTGTCTGCACATAATTGAGTTTTTTCAGCTAGATCAATCCACCACTTGTTCTGGATGTCACGGAGTTTCTGTTGGAGCTTGCTGCATGCGAGACAAAAGGCTGTTTTTCTTGCGTGACAAGAAGGCAGTGCAAGGTGTGCTTGGTGGGCGGTTCTCTTCTTCCTCAGCAAGTCCTGGATTTCTTGATTGTTTTCGTCAAACCAGTCCTTGTTCTTCTTGAGGGAGAACCCTAAGGATTCTTCAGAGGATTGCAGGATGCTGTTTTTAATAAGGTGCCAAGTTGATTCAGGGGAGGAATCTGCAGAATCTGTGGAATGGTTTTCGAGCCTAGTTTGAAGGTTAGCCTGGAATTTCTCTCTTACTGTGGCTGATTGGAGATTGTTAACTTGGAGTCTTCTCCTTGGGATACTGCCCCTTTTAGGTTTGAATTTGAGATTGAAGTTGAGTTTACAGTGCACAAGCTGATGGTCTGTTTGGCATTCTGTGCTGGGCATCACGCGGGTATGGAGGACATCGCGGGCATCTCTCTGTCGCCCCAAGACATAATCGATGAGGTGCCAATGCTTAGATCTGAGGTGCATCCAGCTTGTCTTCAGACTATTTTTCTGCTGGAAGATAGTGTTAGTGATGGTGAGCTGTTGCTCTGCACAGAATTCTAGCAGAAGTCGACCATTATCGTTGCAGTTTCCAACACCGTGCTTGCCTAATATTCCTTTCCAGGCTTCAGAATTTTTACCCACTCTGGCGTTGAAATCACCAAGGATAATGATCTTATCATCAGCAGGCACCTTTTGGGTAAGGCAGCGCAGGTCAGCGTAAAATTTATCTTTTTCAGCAGGGTCAGCTTGGAGAGTTGGGGTGTATATACTGACGTGTCGGTTGTTGTGGAGTGGAAGGCATAGGGAGATAATGCGGTCAGAGTGACCTGTGGCAGATTTTCGAGTTTAGGAACAATAGAGTTTTTGATCATGAAGCAGACTCCTGAGAGATGTTTTTCGGTTCTGGGCTTACCTGACCAAAAGAGTGTGTAACTGGCACCATGTTCTCTGAGGCTGCCTTCCTCGTGAAGGCGAACTTCACTGAGAGTGGCAATGTCGATGTTGAGACGAGCCAGCTCATGGGCAATTAGGGCAGAACAACACTCAGGACATCCGCTGTCCGCAGAATCGAGCATGGTTCTGATGTTCCAACATGCTAGAGTTAATTTAGGTACACCTTTGGAGGCAGGTGCGTGCCTTTGTCTTTTATCTTTGTGCGACCGCTTGGAAGAAGATGCCGGTTGACCGCGGTTAACCAACTGGGTGAAAGTGGAGATGAGCTTTGTTTAGGCCACCTTTTCTAGGCCCCTCTCCGAGTGCAGCAAGCAGTGCTGTCCTTGAAAAGGCTGCTTGGTGGTTCAGGGTGCTGCCCCAAGAGACTGTCATCTCCGGTCAGTCTCAAATGACCAATGCCCTGAACCGCCTGCATGCAGGGTTGGGTCTGCGGCTCCCAGTGCACCTCTCACCTGCCGTTTCGACCTCGCCCGTCGCTACAGGACTTTTTGCATGTGGGTAAAGGCTTCAAGCCTGCACAATGGATTTTTAGGTGAGATGCAGTATGTGCAGAACTGAGCCCACCCTTTAATCCTGAGGTTCATCTGCCAGGGCCGAGCGAGCTTGGACGGTGGCAGCGAGGTCCTCAGGACGTAGGTTTGATTAGAGTGACCTTCTCTTAGATGGATGGCCTTACAGGGCTGACGAGCTCCATCTGCCCAGGTTTGGGATTAGAGTTGTCCTTCTCCTAGGATGACTGCCAGAAGGCTAACAAGCTCATCCTGCCCACAGATGTATTGTGTCTGACCCTGCTGTTTTCACCTGTCTGGCATGGGTGACCCTACCAAAGGCGTGTACCATTGCCAGCATAGCTCACAACCGCATAGGGGCACACAGGCTACGTTCCTGTTAGAACGGTTTGGGCAAGTCTTACATTTCCTACTTTACTATCACCTATTTATATACAATCATGAGGAGATCCCCAGGAACAACCCTTTGTCCTGCCCACCTTTCAGGACGTAACAGAGCAAAGCAAATATATCCAGAACATGCTGAACCTGGGCAGTAGCCACAGGTGAGCCAAAACCAAACAGACAAACAAACCGACCAACCGTTCTGGCCCCCGTACACATCCAAGGCTGGGGTGCCTTTCAAGGCCCCAGCTTGGCTGGGACCCCCATCACTCTAAAGGAACCCCACTATCCACTCTGACCATATCCTTCCTCCACTGTGTTACCACATATCTTCAGGCACACTGCTCACCTGTGACACTTCATACAGGAGTGCCCCGCTCTCCCTTCTGCCAATCAGAGGACCCCCATGGCCCACACGATACCCCTCCCCTCTCTTCCCGTACCCCCACTCCCCCGTATCCCCCCTCCCATCCTCTGTACCCCCCTTACCCCCAAACCTGGAACGGCAAACCTCTGTGTGCTCCGAAGCTGCTCTCTCCTCCTCCACGGGCGTGCAGCAACTGCCAGCAAGGCTCCCCCACTCTCTCTCTCCCCTCTCCTGTCGTGGCCGCGCCTGGGGCCTGAACCGCGGTGCCGGGGGGGACTCCCGGGGGACTCCCAGGCAGCCCAGGACCCCACCACACACACACACCAGCCCGGACCCACCACTCACCCGTGGCACGGGGGCCGGCTCCCACAAACCCGGACCCCAACACTCACCCGTGGCCGGCAGGGGGGGCACGGGGGGGCTCCCAGGCAACCCGGGACCCCACCATCACTGCCAACGGGGGGCTCCCAGCAACCCAGACCCCAACCACTCACCTGCGGCGCTGGGGGGAGACTCCCAGGGGACTCCCAGCCAGAAGCAATTATATTAAAGCCTGCAAAAAGGAAATAATTATTAATTAGAGATGGATGTAACTCACCCAGACCAACACTTCTGGGGAGATCTCTGCTCTCAACCTGCAGGAGTGACCTTGGAGGTGTCCCCAGCCAAGGGAGGAATCTCCACACCTACACCCCAGGGAGGGTTGTGTCAGAAGAACCTGACTGTATGAGAGGGGACTGGACTTGTATAGTATAAAGTGATTGACTGCCAGTCACACCTTTACAGCCCCTCGAGCAGCTGATGATGACTCGATGTCTGGTGACCCAGGATGGTTTTAGCACAATAACACCAAGGCAACACTGTGGCACCAGCAGCTGATGGCTTGCATTGTGTGCATTCTCTGATTGGATTTTAGGTTTTATCAGGGGTAGGCTCTCCTGCCACACCCAGTCACACCCAGTTGCCCTCAGTATAGATCCAGTCACTCCTACTTGCTCCCAGTTGCTCCCAGTGTGGTCCTAGTCATTCCCAGTATGGTTACAGACACTCTCTGTATTATCCCAGTCCCTTCCAGTCACTCCCAGTGTAGCCCAGTCACTCCCAGGATGAGCCCAAAGCTCCTGGAACACCTGGAGGACCCATCTTGAGGAGGGTCCCTCTAAGCTCTGTGGAGGAAGAGCCCAAGGAGCTGAGGTTCCCCCAGAGCCCCCCAGGCAGGAGAAAGTGGTGACAACCCCCCAGCCCAGGGCTCCGGGAGCACCAGGGGGTCTCCAGCCCGACCCCCCAGCAAGGGGCTCCCACAACCCCTCATGCTGTTCCCAAAATCCCTTGGGATCCCCCATCCATCTCTGCATTCCCCCCTCCAAGATCTCCAGCCTCCTGAGATGAGCCCAAAAGGCTGGAAGTGCCCACCCGGGGGGGACCAAAACCCCCAAATTTTTATCTCCATCCACCACTTTTGCCCCTTTTCCTGTTCTTTTGCCCTTCCTGGGATCCCCCCCAGGGGGTGGAAGCAGCCAAGAGCCCAGCGCTGCCCCATCCCGACCTGCCCCAGCTCCGTCGCTGCTCCTCCTGCAGGATGGGATGGGTTTGGGGGGAAGGGAGGACCAAGGGTGGGTGCTGGGCCTGGGGGAGGAAGAGGAGGGATGCAGAAAGGAGTGGAAGAAGGGGTGGAGGTAGGAGAAGGAGGTGGAGTTAGGGAGGAGAAGGAGGAGGAGGGATGGAGGAGGAGGAGCAGGAAGAGGAGGAGCAGGGGGAAGAGGAAGAATAGAGGAAGTGGGGGAGCAGGAAAAGGAGGAAGAGGAAGAGGAGGAACAACCATCACAGTTCCTCCCACCCTGGAAGCATCGCCCCACCTGCATTCCACAGATGACTGGGGAGGGGGAGCTCGCCCCAGATATCTTGGGGGGTCCATGTTGGGTTTTTGGGGGGAGGGGATGTTTGCAGCTTAAAGACTCCAGAATGAACTGCAAATGCCCCTTGGGGAGATACTGGGGGGTCCCCAGCAGGTAGGTTTTTTTGGTGGGGGTCCCAGCAGGTGCCAGCAGGCAGGAGCCACGTGTCCCATCTCAGGGGGCGTCCACCAGTTTTGGGGACCTCCAGCAGACCCAGGTGGGGAACGCCGGGACCCCCAGAGTGGGGAGAGTGGAGAGGGGTGATACTGGAGCTGGGTGAACCCCAGCAGCCTGGGGAGGGGGGGAGCACAGAGATGGGAGAACCCTGGGACATGTAGCATCCAGGAGAGGAGAAAATCTGGAGGAGAGGACCTCTGGGATACTGAAACTGGAGCCTGGAAAGAGAGGACCCCCAGCAGCCTGGAGAGGGTGAGACCCAGGAGAGGGGGAACCCCTGGGAATCCAGCACCCAGAATCAGAGAGCGAAGGGAGAATGGACCCCTTGACCCCCAAAGCCCCCGGCATCCCTAAGCAGAACCATGGAGCGGGAGGAACTCCAGGACCCCAAAGTGAGGAGTCTGGAGAGGAGACACTCCTGGGATTCCCAAGGCCACTGGCAGCCTGGAGGGGGCAGAGATCCTGGAGAAGGGTGACCCCCAATACACACGGCACCACGAGCAGCCTGGACAGGGGGACCCCCAGAACCCCAAAGTGGAGAGACTAGAGAGGGGGAACTCCTGGGAGGGTTTTTTGGGGCTGAATCTTCATGTTTTGGAGGTTTTTATGGATACCATTCCAGGAGGAATCCCCAACCCAATGTGCTCACACCCAAAACCTGTTTTGGGTTTTTTCCCACCAAAACAGGATTTCTGATTCCCAAACCTTGGCTGGATGGAGGAGGAGGCTGTGAGGAAGATGCCCCAGGACACCCAGGCAGGTGAGGAGGAAGTCAGTGCCCCTTTGCTTTGTCCTGCATCTTCCAGCCGAGCATGGCCCCGGCTGCAGGACAACCCCGCTGCCATCGCCGTCCTGCCGGGGCCGGAGTTGGGGGGATGTCCTTGGCCTTCCCTCTGGGCCGGAGGCAAATCCCCTCCCTGTCCTTCTTCCCTCCTGCCCCAGGCCCCGAGCTGAGGACGGAGAGCCCGGAGGACAAATCCCCCCGTGAGACCCTGGTGGGAGAGGCCGTTTTGAAGGGCTCCCCGGCGCAGGAAGGCAGCGGGGAGGAAAAGCCACAGAGATACCCAACAAGGAGGGGCTCCAAAGCCAGCCCAGGGTGCTCTGAGGAGGAAAGAGCCAGCCTGTGCCGGGAAGGCGGCTGGAGCTTGAGCCGGAGCTCCGACCTAGTGGTCCCTGAGCAGCCTCCCAGCAGGGAGAAGCCCTTCAGGTGCTTGGAATGTGGGAAGAATTTCAGTCACAATTGCAACCTGATCCGCCACCAGATGATCCACAGGGGAAAACGACCCTACAAGTGCTTGGAATGTGGGAAGAGCTTCAGAAAGAGCTCCAACCTTATCAGCCACCAGAAGATCCATACTGTGGAGAAGACCTACAAGTGCTTGGAATGCAGGAAGAGCTTCAACCACAGATCTGAACTGGTTCGCCACCAGAGCATCCGCACTGGGGAAAAGCCCTACAAGTGCTTGGAATGTGGGAAGAGCGTCAGCCACAGTTCCAGCCTGATCCGCCACCAGATGATCCACACGGGGGAACGGCCCTACAAGTGCTTGGAATGTGGGAAGAGCTTCAGAGACAGCTCCACCCTGCTCCGCCATCAGCAGATCCACATCAGGGAGAAACCTTACAGGTCCTTGGAGCGCGGGAAGAGCTTCAACCACAGCTCTGAACTGGTTTGCCACCAGAGCATCCGCACTGGAGAAAAGCCCTACAAGTGCTTGGAATGTGGGAAGAGCGTCAGCCACAGTTCCAGCCTGATCCGCCACCAGATGATCCACACGGGGGAACGGCCCTACAAGTGCTTGGAATGTGGGAAGAGCTTCAGAGACAGCTCCACCCTGCTCCGCCATCAGCAGATCCACACCAGGGAGAAGCCTTACAAGTCCTTGAAATGCAGGAAGAGCTTCAGCCACAGCTGGTGACCCACTGGAGTGCTGAGGCCTGAACAACAGGCCCTGAGCCAAGGTTGACCTTTAGATGAACCTTTCAACCTAATGTTGTATTAAGTCATGTATCCGCTTATCAGCAAAATCTATGTATGCTTGTTAGTAAAATAGGTACTGTGATAAGACTACACCTGTGTAAATATGTGTGCTTATTAGTAAGATATATTTTTGTTCTCTCATTAGTGAATAACATTTGTATCTGTTCATTAATGAAATATGTATGATTGTCAGCAAAATATGAGTATATTTATCTTTCTGTATTTAGAGACTAGTCAAGGCCATGGAAGTGGATCCCTGGCCTTGTTTGGCAGCAGATGGTGCAGGATGACTCCCTTGGTTTTCCCCTTAAGCCCTGGCCAGGCTTTAGGTGAAACCCAAGGAGAGAAGGAAGCCAGATGTTTTCCACACTAGTGGTTATGTAAGTTTGTTTGTTCAACAGTATAAAAGCTGGACCCTCTCACAGCAAAGATAGAGACCTCCCCTATGATTGGATGGCCTGCATAGGACTTCCCAGATCCCGAGAGGGGTTCTCTGACCCTTTGCTGTGACCGGGGTTCCCCAGGTGACCTGCAGGTCTGGATGCTGGTAATGTATCAGGGTAACTGGTGATTTCTTAGTGACTGTAGACAGTCTTTGTAGTAACGATGAGGTGCATTACTGAGCTTATCTTTTTGCAATTCTCTGCTGTTTTGCATTAAAGTAACATTACGCACTTGTTCCTTAAGGTTGGTGTCTGTGTCTCTCGTGCTGACCCTCATCCCCTTGGCAAAACAACTTGAGGTGTCTGTGACCTCTCTACTTCTGAGCAGGCTGGAGACACCTCTGATGTCACCATGGAGCCCCTGTTACTGTGCATGACTTAATGGATCTTTAGGACCCAAGAGACCTCTGGGATGTCATCATGCAGCACCTGTCACAACCAGTGACCTCATGGCTCCTTAGAAACCCTAGAGACCCCTGGAAAAACCTGGATGACAACTTGATGAAACAGATCCTAAGGGAGCTGACTCAGATCAGTGCCCTCCTTGATCTGCTACTTGTCCACAGAGAGGATCTCATGAGCAAGTGGAGATTGGGGCCATCTTGGCCACAGCAACCATGAAGGGATCGAGTTTTAAATCTCTGTTACAGGAGGAGAAATGCCAGCAAAACCTCAGCTCTGGCCATGAGGAGAGCAGACTTCAGGATTGAAAATGTTTTTTGCACATGCTGGAGTCCATCAGCCCATGGCTGGGCAAACACATCATGGGGTGGGTGAGCAATTGGCTCATGGGTCGAGCACAGAGGGTGACATCAGACTGGTGACCTGTCACTAGTGGGGTTCCATAGGGCTCAATCTTGGGCCCTGTGCTCTTCAACATCTTCATAAATTACTTGGACACAGGACTGGAAAGGACACTTTGCAGATGACACAAAACTGGGAGAAGCTGTTGACTCCTTTGAAGACAGGAAGGCCCTGCAGAGAGACCTGGACAAATCCGGGGGCTGGGCAATCACCAACCACAGGAAGTTCAACAAGGAGAAGTGCTGGATTCTGCCCCTGGGATGGGGCAATCCTGGATGTATGGACAGACTGGGAATGAGAGGCTGGAAAGCAGTGCCAGAAAAGGGCCCTGGGGGTCCTGGTTGGTGGCCACTTGGCCACGAGTCAGTGTTACGACCCACCCCAGAAAAAGGGGAGGAGGGTAACCCAGGTTCTTATCAATAATTCCCTTGGGGTGGATTAGAGTGAAACGACACTGAATAATCGGTGTCTGAAAACATATATTGGTAAGGTTTATTTTAACAATTTTGTATCAACAGGTATGCTAGCAGTTTGGGTGTTGTCATGTAACAACGTGGCATAGAGATAACCTTTGGGGGGGAAGAAAATGCATAGGGGAGAGAAAGACAGGATAAGAGTAAGGGAGAGTAATGAAAAGCTGAGAGCGCACAGATGTCCATAGTCACCACCCACGGGGTCCAGCGATGACACTTGGTAGTTGCTGCTTCCATGTCTGTCAGTTGAAGTGGTGGCCTTGATCTGCTGGGGGTGAAGGAGGGAAGCCCCCACACGCCAAGAAGTTATGAGTTATTATATCCATGGTCAGTGTCACGGGCCATGCCTCCAGCCTCCAAACTCTCCCTGGGCCTGCGCAGTTTCTGTGTCTGGCCTGGTTCCCGCCTTTTTAAGATTGGCAGAGGAGGGGATGGGTTTTTATGGGCCATGAGAGGTCCTGCCTTTTCAGGGCTTGACACCTTCAGCACTGGAGGGAGGGATGGGCCCAATTGCCCATCAGAGGTATAATACAACAGTCAAAAGCCTGCAAACTTGTCTCTTCGCTGGAGGCAGGGACAGGCCCAACTGCCTATCAGAGGTACAATGCAAAGGTCAAAATCTTGCAAGAGTCTCCTAGAATGCATAAATCTTTAACCATTTCAGTCTCTGACAGTCAGCAGTGCCCTGGCAACCAGGAGGGCCAAGCCTGTCCTGGGGGCATCAGGCCCAGCATGGCCGGCCAGGCCAGGGAGGGGATTGTCCCGCTCTGCTCTGCCCTGGGGCAGCCTCACCTGCACCATTGGGGCAGTTTGGGGGGACACAGTGGAAGGGAGAGATTGAGCCATTAGAGAGTGTCCAAAGGAGCGTAAGGAAGATGAGTAAGGACCTTGATTTGAAGGCGTGTGAGGACACTGAGGGCACTTGGTGTGTTCAACTGGAGCAGAGGAGACTGAGGGGAGACCTCAGTGCAGTTCCAGCTTCCTTGAGAGGGTCAGAGGAGGGGCAGGCCCTGAGCTCTGCTCTGTGAGGACCAGGGACAGCACCCCAGGGAATGGCCTGGAGCTGTGTCAGGGCAGGGTTAGGTTGGATATTAGAAAAAGGTTCTTCCCCCAGAGGCTGGTTGGGCACTGACCAGGCTCCCCAGGACAGTGGTCACAGCACCAAGGCTGACAAAGCTCAAGAAGTATCTGTATGATACTCTAAGGCACATGGTGTGACTCTTGGGGATGGTCTTGTACAAGGTTAAGAGTTGGACTCAATGATCCTTGTGGGTCCCTTCCAACTCAGCACATTCTGTGATTCTTTGAATGGCCCATTGATTTCATGAGGTTCCAAAATGTCTCAGGATTGCTTTGGTTCCATGAGGCCCTGCATGTCACAGTGGCCCCTTGGTTCCATGAGATTCCACAGTCTCCCTGTGTTCCTTTGGTTCCATGAGGCCCTGCAGTGTCACAGTGGTCCCCTGATTCCATCAGTTCCTCAGTGTCAAATGGCCCCTTGATTCCATGAGGTTCCACAATGTCAAAATGACCCCATGACATTCTGCAGTGTCACAATGGACCCCTGTATTCCATTAGGCCCCTCAGTGTCAAAATGAGGCCTTGATTCCATGGGGTTCTGAAAGGTCCCAGGGTACCTTTGTTTCCATAAAGCCCTGTTGTATCTGGGTTTAATTCTCTATTGGAACTGGTGTAACTATTGTATTCTCCAATATAACTGCTTTAACTGGTTTTATTCTCCAACGGAACTGGTGTAACTGGTTTATCTAATGTGGCATCCCAGGGAACCTGTAGCTTGGAATGGGGAAAAACAACTCAAACAATGCACTATTTGCAAAGCCCTCACTGGGGAATGGAGAAGTGGGGTCCTGCTGCTCTTGAGGTCGAGTGATGCTGGAACCAACTGGACTCATTGATCCCAAAATTTGAGAATGAAGATGTGGCAGAGCTGGGAAAATCACCAGATAGAGGAAGAAACAAGTGACACCACTGAGAACTTCTCCAGAGCTGCTGAGCTGGCTCAACCTGGACACACCTGACTGACAGACTTGCACTTTATACTTGTAACACACAGGTAATATAGAAATGCCAGAAATAATGTTTTGTCATTGTTTCTGCCTGTCAAAACTTCCTACCAAAAATTCTCTGTCAGCTTTCTGCCAGAAGTTCTCACCAGAGCTTCCCCGGAGCTTTCCTGCCAAAAGATCCTGCTATTGTTTATGGTTATCATATCTCCTCAGACATCTGAATAGGGCTACGTGCCAAGAAACCACGTACAACCTCCTTTGAACACTATAAAAGTTGAGGGAAAATTTTGGAAAATCAAGGAGAGAGGAAAGGGAGAGAGAACTGGTTATTGAAGCTGAGAATCTCTCCCCACCTCCCCCTCACCTTTCCTCTGCCAGCAGGTGCTGCCACTGGAGACTGGAACTGTGCCGGCCTGGAGAGGACTGAGACCCACCGTGCCACCTGCATGAGTTGCATCTTATCCTTCCACCCTGACCATATTTCTGGGGGCCGAAAGGTGCAGCTGAACCAGCACCCTGCACGGCCTGGGACATGGCTCAGCATGAGCAGGGAAACCACACATCCTGGCTGCATTCCAGAGAACTAAAACTGCTAACACCCCCCCCAGCTAAAGAGATAACATCGAAAAGCAGCAGAGACAGAGAAAAAAAAGGGCAGAAACTGCTTCTCCCCCCCCAACTTGGCAGAAAGGTAGTTTTGGTGGTATCTTTTCTCTACTTCTAGAAGTAATCTTAGCATTTTCCAACCTTTTCTTATTTTTTCCTCTTTCTCTTTGCATCTCTTAGCAATTAATAAAATCAATTTTGGTATCAGCGGATAACTTGTGTGAGTTTTAATTTTGTTCAAGAGAATATTTGAATCTGAAGTTCTTTCTGCAACATTTAAGCAGATTGTAACAATACTATAAAAGCCCAAATTTTAAGGGAAGGATCTTCTGAATTATCCCTTCTTGGAGTGTGGAGATTCCTCCTCGGAGTGGGGACGCCCCTCAAGATCACTCCTTTACCCACAATTGTTGGTCTGGGTGAGTCACATCAAGCTCTACTTGATTTTGCCAGCTTTGCTATAATTGCTTCAATATTGCTTCCTAGTGCTCTATACTCTACTAATAGTTGTAGCTCCTACATGGTGTAGTAAATAATTCTAATTAAGGTCTTTTTGTCTAATCATTATCAGAATAAATCCTATATATTTATATAAATGTATTTGCTTTGCCATCCTTAATCCTGTGGGATAAAGTTGTATAAAGGCCCACTGGTCAGACCAGTTTGCCCCCTGGCCACAGTGAGGGCCCTGAGTCCTTTGAGAAGTCAAGGATCATCCCCATTCCCCACATTCCCACCCATTCTTGCCCTTTCCCACTTAATTTTGCCCATTCCAGTCGCTTCCTGCCCTCCAGGACACCACCTGAAGCTGCCACTGGGATCTTGCCCACGTTGGCTGGGCTCCAGCACCACCAGGCACCTGTGCCAGGTGTGTCCCTCCACACATGGATGTCACAGGGACATCCCGGAATTATTAATTTTAAGGTTGTACCAAATCTGGGTGGTTTTGGGGACTATTTGCAGTGATTGTGTAATGACACTGAAATTCATCAACCAATGGGAAGGAAGGGGGCAGAGCTGGAAAGTTGTGGGCAAATATGGTGAAAAGTCCTGAGTTGTAACCATGGGAGGGCAGAGTGGGCAGCCCTGTTGGATTGGGGGTTCTGGGGGAATGGGGGGCCCAGGAGATATGATTAAGGGGATTGAAGTCCCAGGGAATGGAGGTCCCAGGGAATGGGAGTCCTGGGATGCAGGTGCCAGGGAGGGGGACCTAGGGAATGGGGTTACCACGGGAATGGGGGTCCTAGGGACGGGGAACGGCTGGGTGGGCACAGGGGTCACGGCTCCTTCACTGGTGGCCTCAGATTTTGGGCTGACCAGGGTCTGGTGCAGCCTCCCAGGGGTACCTGTGCCCTGGGGGGGCACCCCAGGAGGATCCTGGGGGTTCAGGGGGGCTCCAGGGCTGCTCCCCTCCTTACCCTGCCCTTGGGCTTTTCCTTCTCTTTATTTCTATGTTTTTCCATATTTTCCTCACTTTTGCCCCCTCCAAAGCCCCCCTCTCCCAGGTCCTGGCTGGCGAGCGGAGAGGCCACCGGAGCAGATCCTGCCCAGATCCTGCACCTTCCCACTCCAGACCGATCCATGTCCACACAAACAGACCCCCTGCAGCTGCAGGCAGGTGACCCCAGGTGATTTTGGGGCCTTTTGGCTCACGTTTGTATGTTTCAGTGATTTGGGGGGTCTTTGGCCTCATTTTCATGGTCCTTGGGCTGATTTTGGGGGTTTTTGAGCCCATTTCTTGGGTGATTTAGGCTGATTTTTGGGGTCTTTGAGCTCATTTGTGGGTGTTTTGGCTCAATTTTGGGGTGTTTGGGTGAATTTTTGGGCATATTTTGGACCATTTTGGGGACTTAAGACTCATTTTGAGGTTCTTTGGGCTGATTTTGCGGGGTTTTGGGCTGATTAGATGGGTATTTTGGATCATTTTGGAGGTCTTTGAACAGATTGGGGGGGGGTTGCCTTATTTAGGGGGTCTTTAGGCTGATTTGGGGGACTTTGGGCTCACTCTTGGGGTGTTTGGGACTATTTTTTGGGTCTTTTACCTCATTTTCCAGGTCTTTGACCTGATTTTGGGTGTCTTTTGCCTCATTTTTGCCTCATTTTTGAGATCATTGGGCTGAGTTTTGGGGTCATTTTTTGGGTCCTTGGCTGATCTTGTGGTCTTTGAGCTGATTTTTGGGGCCCCAGAGACTTTGCCACTTTTGAGAATAAAACAAAGATTATTCCTAAAAAATGTTATTTTTTTTTAATTCACCAAAGGGAAAAACAGGAATTACGGGGATTTCCCTCAAAAACTCCTATTTTCAAGCTGTGTTTTGGGACTCCAGGACAATTCTGGGACTCAAATTTAAAAACAACCCCTGAAAAGTGAAGTGAAAAGTCCCCAAAATGCAGAAAAATCTCCCACAAAATCCCACTTCCTTTTTTATTTTTTACATTTTTTGACGTTTTTCCTGGTTTTGGGGGGACTTTTCAGGGCTCAAATATCACAGAAAACAGCTCGGAAGGACTGAAAACAACCAAAAAAAAGTGATTTACGCGGAAATCGGATCAGAGGTAAGGAGGGACCCCATAATATGGAGCTGAGGAGCCCCAAAATGTTGATTTTGGGAGGTGAGACCCCGAAATTTGGATCGGGGGGAGAGGGAGCCCAAAACGTGGATCTGGGAATTCGGCAGCCTAAAAATGAGGAGTTTGGGAGGGGGGATCCCAAAATTCGGAGCTGAGGAACTCCAAAATGTGTATTTGGGAAGTGGAGAATCCCAAAATGTCAATTTTGGGAAGGGGGATCCCAAAATTTAGAGAGAGAGACCCCAAAATGTGCATTTTGGGAACAAAAGAACCTCACATTTTGGTGTTTGGGAACAGGGGAACCCAAAACATGGAATTTGGGAATTGGAGACCCCAAAATTTGGAGTTTGAGGGGGGACTACAAAATATGGAGTCTGGCAACCCCAAAATTTGGATTTGGGAAGGGAATGCAAAATTTGGAGGGAGGGAACCCCAAAATGTGGAGTTTGAAAAGGGGGAACACCAAAATATGGACCTGGGATTTGGGGAACCGTAAAATATGGAATTTGGGAAACAAGAAGTCCCAAGATTTGGATTTTGGGAAGGGAGACCCCAACATTTAGAGATGGGGAGCCCCAAAATGGGGTTTTTTGGAAGGGGGGATCCCAAATTTTTGAGGGATGGATCCCAAAATTTGGATGGAGAGACCCCAAAATGTGAAACTTGGGAATGGGGATCCCAAAATGTGGATTTCGAGGGGACATGGCCCCAGGGCTGCTAAAATTCATGTGTTTTTTTTTTAAATTTCAGATTTTCCCACAGACTCCAGTGGATCCATGATGCCACTGCTCCAGGTATGGCTGGGCTCAGGATTTAAAGATCTTTTGGGAATTTTGAAGCATTTCGGGGCAAAAACAGGGATTTTTTTCCCAGAGCCAGAAAATTTTAATTCTTAAAAAATTCAAAATTAAATGAAATTAATTTAATTAAATCCAAAATCAAGGAATTTGGGGGATTTCATCTTAAAATGTCAGTGGAAAAAGAGGAATTTGAGATGTGGTAATTTGGATGGGAGTAGGTGACGCCTCCCATGGTTCCCCCCCAGATCTTCCTCCTCTTGCTTGACCTTGGAATTTTGGGAATTCTGGGAATTCCAGCCGTGGAAGTGCCAGGAAGTAGGCTCCTGGATGTCCTCAGTGAGTCTTGGGCCCTCCCAGCCCCTTCCAGTCCCTCCCAGTTCCCTCCCTCCCAGTATGTCCCAATGCCTTCCAGTTCCCCCAATCCCCTCCCATTATATCCCAGTTCCCTCCCAGCATATCCCAGTCCCAACCCTGTCTATCCCAGTGCCCCCCAGTCCTCTCCCAGTGACCCCAGTTCCCCTTCCAATAAATCCCATTTCATGCCCAGCCCCTCCCAATTCTCTCCCAGTGATCCCAGTTCCCCGCTCAGTACATCCCAGTTCCCTCACAGTATATTCCAGTCCCTCACAGTGCCCACCAATCCCTTCCCAGTGACCCAGTTCCTCCCTCTCCCAGTCTATCCCAGTGCCCCCCAATCCTCTCCCAGTGTGCCCTGTCCCCTCCCAGTAGCCCAGTCACTGACCCTTGACCCCAGTTCCAACCCAACCCCACCCACCTCTTCCAGAACATCCCTCTGGCCTCTCCCACCCTCCAGTCCGGGACAGAATTCCCTCCTTTTCCCAAAAACTCCTCCCCTTTTTTTACCCCCCCCCATTACCTCCTCAGACACTCCCATCCGAAAGCGAGACCAGGGTCCCCCTTCCCACCTCAAGTGGGAGCCCTTCCAAGGCCGTCTTCCCCCCGACGCCGTCTCCAGCTGGAACCGCCATACCGGGCGCCTGGAATTCATCTGTTCCACGATGGAGCTCGGCTGCAATTCCGGCTCCTACGATCCCGTCAGGGGCCCCTATTGCTACTTCCCGAACAGGGGACAGGAGAAGCACACCTCCAACTTCAACATCTTAGTCAACGCCGGCGGCTTTGAGACCTTGGATTGGGTGGATGATTCCTTTGGCACCGTCCCAGAAAATGCTGTGGAGAGTTGCCCATCGGTTGACATCTTCGTGGGGCGGAGCCGGGATGGGCTTGGAAAGGTCTCCAAGGAGCACCGGGCACTTTTCGTGGCACTGGGGGGGGAGGAGGTTTGGTACAAGTGGTATCAAGTCTTGGTAGTCAAGACGGGCCCATCCGACATCTCCATCGTGGACGTTGCCTACAACCTGAGCACGGCACTGGAACATTCTGAGGACGTGGTCTTGGCCGAGGCTCCAGTGCAGAACGAAGGCTGTGGGGCAGCCCCAGGGTCCACCTTCTTGGAAGAGGCCACGGAGACGGAGCACACGTGGCGCTCAGATCACCCCGCGCTGGCCACCGTGCGCGGGACGCTCTGGGCGGCCCCGTTGGTCCTCACCGGGCCGGGCTGGGCTGCGGCCAACGTCACCTCCCTGCCGTGGGTGGGCGGGGCCAGCATCGCTAAGTTCGTGTCCCACGGGCCCCACGAGGTGCGGGAGGAGGTGCCGGCGCGCTCGGAATGCACCGCGGTGCTCCGGGGACGCCGGCGTGACCTCCAGGTGATGTTCACTGCCCAGCTCCGCCGGGAATTCCGTGATGGATTCCAGCACAGTGTGGGGGTCACTGGCTGGGCACAGACCCGGGTGGTCACTGGGGTCAGTGCCAGGATTGAGCAATGCCGGGAACTCGCCAGGGTCCCGCCATGTCCAGCATAGGGAGGGACCTATGCTGGACTTTGGGCTGGATCCCAAAATTCCTCTCCAAAGATTTTTCCTGGTGTTTTTCCCCTAAATAATCCCACAAAATGCAATAGCAGAAACTTGGAATGCAGGGCAATGCTTGGATTTGGTGGGTTTCCCCATATTTTTGCTTTTTGTGGCATGACCTTTATCCCTTTCTGAAACCACATGGCAAAACTGTGCAAAAACATGGCATTTTCTGACTGAATTTCCTGTTTTCTCCAAAAATTCTGTAGAATCTGGGATGGGGGGTCCCTGGGGCAGTCCAGAACTGGAGGGTGGAGAGGGATTGGGAGTCCTGGAATGTTGGGAGGGGTGTTCCAGAGATCTGAGGGGACCCAGGGAGCTTAGGGGGAACACAAGGATTTGGGAATGCCCCAAATTTTGGGGGGGGAGAGAAAAGATTTGGGGAGACCCCAAATTTTTGAAGGGAGGGAGACAGGGATCTGGGGAGACCTCAAATTTCCTGGGGGAGGGGGGTGTCCCCAGAGAGGTGAGGGGGGCCAGGGGGCTGGGAGCAGTCCAGACCCCCCGGGTGCCGTTTGCCATCCAGCTGCTCCAGGAATTCCACACCGGCTCCGGGCACAGTGAGGGGGCACCAGGTGGGCACCGAGGGCGAGCGGGGCCGGCAGCTCACTGGGGTCCTGCTGTGTCTGGTGGAGGGAGGGGGCAGAACCCCAAAATCCATTTTTTCCTGGAGAATTCTTTGGTTTTCTCAAAAAAAGTCCTACAAAATGAGGGTGAAATAAACGAGAACGCCAGTTTTCCCATCTGCATTCTCTGTAGAATTTAAAAACTTGAATTTAAAATTAAATTTAAAACTTTAATTACGTTTCCTTTACAATTTTAATTCCTTTTTCTTCAATAAATGTAAATAATTTTTTAAAAATATTTTTTAAAAATTAATTCATTAAAACTTTTTAAAATTAAATTTTAGGGAGCATTTACCTCCCACCTCCTCCTTCTTCGATCTTGTTGAAAAAAAAGATGAAGAAGTTAATTATTCCATATGAAATCAATAAATATTAAATTATACTGGTCAACGGATCAGAAAAAATATTTATTTTAACAGAGTTTTTTCAATTTTAGAATATTTTAGAAATTCCCCAAGGGAAAAAGACCTGCTGAAAAATCAAGACTGAACTGAAAAATTTCCTCTATAATTGATTTATTATCAAACCAATACATTGCTTCTGAGATTGTTATTTACACTTTACAAATAAATTTATAAAATAGATATATAAAATATTTCTAAGGATAAAATAGTATAAAATAAAAAATAATTATATAATATAAATAGAAAATACATTTACATAAATAGAAATATATAAAGTATAATTTATCATAAAATTATTATATTGCACATAAAATATATTGAATATTATTGAATATAAATATATTTATCTATTTTATTTATTTTAATATATTTTTACAGATATTTATAAGTTTTAATAGATTTTTATATAATATTTATATTATATAGAGAGTTATATATAACATTTATATATTATATATTCATATCATTACATAAGAATATAAATAGATATTAGATATTATATAATAAATGAATTACATACATATATTAATATACATCTATGTATATGGGTTTGCATGGCCAGGTTTTGGTAGCGGGGGGGCTACAGGAGTGGCTTCTTTGAGAAGCTTCCAGAAGCTTCCCCCATGTCCAGAGCCAATTCCAGCAGCTCCAGGATGGACCCACCAAGGCCGAGCCCATCAGGAGTGACAGAAACGCCTCTGTGATAACATATTGAAGAAGGAGAAAAAAAAGTGATTGGGCAGATGAAATTGCAGCCCGAGAAGAGCAGAGTGAGAACGTGTGGCCGGCTCTGCAGACACCGAGGGCAGGGCGGGAGGAGGAGGAGACCATGGGCAGGAGCTGTGCCCCTGCAGCCCACAGGGCACAGGGGAGTGCAGAGATCCACCCACACCGGAGCAGGGGGTGCCCGAAGGAGGCAGGGACCCCGTGGGAGGCCCCTGCTGGAGCAGGGTCCTGGCAGGGACCTGCTGACCCGCGGGGAGAGGAGCCCACGCTGGAGTCGGTTTTCCTGGTAGGACCTGTGGCCCTGTGGGGGACCCACGCTGGAGCAGTCTGAGCCTGAAGGACTGACCCCATGGAAAAATGACCCATGTTGCAGCAGTTTGGGAAGAACTGTTGCCCGTGGGATGGGCTCACGTTGGAGAAGTTGGTGAAGAACTCTCTCCCGTGGGAGGGACCCCACGGGATCAGGGGAAGGACTCCAACTCCTCTCCCTGAGCAGCGACAGGAAGAGTAACTGACCGTAACCCCCATTCCCTGTCCCCCTGCAGCAGTGGGTGGGGAGGAAGGAGAACCTGGAAGGAAGGAGGGGTGGGGAAAGGTGGTTTTGAAATGTATTTTACTTCTCATTCTCCTGTTCTGATTCTGTTGATAATATATTTATTTAATATCCCCACTTTGAGTCTGTTTTGCCCATGACGATGACCAGTGAATGATCTCTCCCAGTCCTTATCTCAACTCATCAACCCTTCGTTATATTTTCTCTCCTCTGTCCAGTTGCAGAGGGGACTGAGAGAGCAGCTTTAGTGGGTACCTGGCCTCTAGTCAGAGCCAATCCACTACACTGGACTGAGCTGACCCTGCAGGGAGAGGGGTTCCCAACCCCACTGCTGTGAAAACCTGTAGGGAACTGAGATTCTATGACCCTGGGAGAAACTCAGAAGGAGAACTTGGCAAGATAAATGCGGATGTGGTGAGATGTATCCTTGTGTGTGGGAAATTGCTTGGGACTATGTTTCTCAAGGACATAAAGCAGATACAGAGAAAAATTACCAAGAGGAATTTACTGCTGATGTAACATGGTATATAAACTGTGAAGGAACTGCAATAAATTATTCCATTATACCACACTCCTTGGGGTCCATGCCCCAGTATGCCACAAATGTTGCCGAAGTGGAGCATGCAAAATTAATCCAGAAAATATAGCCGGAATTCCAGTGGCATAGCCCAGCTGAACCAGGACAGCGACCCGGGACAGGATTTGACTGTGTGCATCCATCACCTCTGCAGGACAGCAGGTGAGCAGCTGGGAACCATGGGAATCACTAACACGGGAACAAAAAAATCAGATGCAGATACTCACAAAGATATTAAAGATATAAAGCAGTAATGTCTGCCAGTTGTCGTTGGTAACGCTGCTAGTTTGGGTACGTGACAATTGCTCCTGGTTTCCTCTAGAGGGAAACTTGAATGTTGCCGTATGAAAAAGCTGTGAAAAAGCTTTAAATTTATTGTCAACATGGCAACAGGTGTTTTCGGCATTAAGCCACCTGTAAGCCACAAATGGAACTGATTTACTTTCTTTGGTGGGTGCACCCCTCGCAGAGAATGATTCTAAGGAGAAACAATTCCCGCTCACAACCCAAGACTCAAACCCCAGTGATCCTCTTGACCCACCCTGGGTCGATTCTGAAAAAGAGCAGATTTATATCTGCCTCCTGCTGACAATGACTCATCACAAGGTGCCTCGGGAACAGCCCTGCTAAACCCCTCACCCTGTGCCACTGCTTCTGCCGCGCCCGCAAATCCAGCGCTCAGCCCGGCCCCGCACATCCACTTCCACCGCCGCCTCCTCCGGCCCCGTGTCCCTGCTCTCTGCCAGCCACCACAGCGAGTGCCGGAGTGGACCTGGTCATCTCCCAGTCAGTCTTGTTAACTGATACAGCTGTGCAGTTACTCCCCACGGGGGTTTGGGGACCGCTAGGGAACGGTTACAGTGCATTTTTGTTAGAGTGCTCATCCACAACTCATGCAGGCCTCTTGTGCTCCCTGGAATCATTGACGCTGATAATACTTGGGAGATTCACGTCATGGCTTGGACACCTCATCCTTCTTGTCACATTAAAGCAGGAGAAAAGGTTTATTTCACTGCACAAGGTCTGAAGTGAGAGGGATGTCACACTGGAGGTTTTGGCAGTACAAACACCACATATTATGTGGGCACAACAAATCTCTCGCAATCAGTCGATGCTGACTTGTTACTTTAAAGGGCAACGATTTACAGGTTTGGTGGACACAAAAAAGGCCTGTTTGTGGTCAGCTGAGCCTGCAAGGAGCAGAAAACACAATTCAACCCCAAGCAGTGGTTCTGCAAAGGCCTTGGAAGGTTTTCAGAGCAGTGGGTTCGGGAACCCCTCCCCCTGCAGGGGCAGCTCAGAGGGAGCCAGTCTGGAAAGGCACCAACGGAACATTCCTGTCACTCTCCCCAAGGGCCTCAGGGAGCCCTAAAAACATCTTTTCCCCTCACCGCCAAAAAAAAAAGGTTTATTTTGTCCTTCCCCTCAGCATGGTGCGGCACTTTCCGGAAGGCAAACTCTGGGAATAACTACTGCCCCCTTTTCTCCTCCTTCCCTCAGCTTTTCTATCTGAGCTGGCATGGGCACAGGGGTTGGAATATCCCTTGGGCTCATTGGGCTCAGCTGACCTGGCTGTGCCCACCCCCAGCCCCTGGATGGGGGGAATGTTGGGAGACAGCACTGATGCTGTGCCAGCCCTGCCCAGCAGGAGCCAAAACAGGGTCATGTTCTCTACCCCTTGCCAGCTCCCCCTGCAGAGCCCAGCACTGGGAGGGGGCTGTGGGAAGAGGAACTCCAGCTCAGCCACACCCAACACAGTCTCTACCTCTTATTCCACACCACTGGTGTTACACTCACATCCCACAGAACTGAGAGATCTTCTGACTCTTCCATTGGATTGATTTCTCTGAACTGAAATCCCTTCTTGCCAACACACACAACTTCAACTCCATCCCATTTCTTTGAAAAATATTTCTCACTCAAAATGGAACAAAACAGTGGCCTAGAGGACATCCTGCCCTCAAATGGATAACTCTAAACACTAATAATTAAAAAAATGACCCCCAGGTATTCAAGAAAAGCTTGTACCTATTTCCTAAAAGCATCCGTGAGCCCTGTCAGCCAATTTCATACCTGACAAGGGTTTGGAGGGGGTGCTTTGTCACGGGAAGCCCTGGAGGCCCGTGGCACAGGGCTGGGGCTACACCGTGGGGCTGTGGGGCGCTGGTTCTTTGGTTGCCAGGGGCCATTCCGGAATGGAGAGGATAGGCCGTGACCTCCCAGAGGAGGTGTTCCCTCGGGGCAGCTCTGCAGGGCCCCGCAGCAAATGCCCCAGTGCAGCCTGTGCTGTGGGGA